TACATCAACTGCAGATGTTTCCTCAGCCTGATGAAGGGTTTTTAAACCTGAAAGCCTGCTAAGAAACATTTTTCCAACTATTTAAATTTGTCTAATAAAAGATATCAGATTCACCCAAAGAACCTTGTCTATGTCCTTAGACCAACACAGCTACAACCTACACCCCTCCAAGAAAGCCAGGCAGAGAGAAGGGAAGAGAAAAAATGGAGTGACTGTTGACAAAGACCAGAAGGAAAGTCAAGAGTGACCCATTACAAGTGACTTCTATTTGGGTACCCCGAACTGCTGCCAAAGTCATGGTGTCCTCCCTGAACATGGGCTGTATAGGCAAATAGAAAGGAACAGCAGTAAAAAAAAACAATGCAATTGAAAATACAACAAAAAGACATTTTGTTTTTCAAAGCTTTAAAGAATATCTTGTGACAAATGTTACTTGAAAGAATGAAACATTGATTGTATCTAGCAGAATCCCTTAGATGAAATTATTTTGTGGAGAATTTTGAATGACCTGGTTGTAGGTACAAAAAAAAGATGCTGTGGTTCATTTTTTCTTTCTCATGATGATTCAGTATATTTTCAGATGTTTCAGTTTACACTATAGTGCATGACAGTGCCTAATGATGTTCTTTATACATCAGTTTTAGATATAGTTTAATTTAAAAATCTTCCTTAGTGGAGGAAGGAGTAAGCCATATGTTAATTAACTTTGCTGAGCATAATTAATTGGAAGGTGTATTTAATACCAGAAGAGGCATACCTTCTAAGATACCATAGATAAGAAGAAGCAGGAAATAACAATACCAGACCCTTCTACACAAATGCGAGCTAATAGATTTTGGAAAAATCATGACAAAACAAATATTTATAAGAAGGAAGCAGTTTGCAAATCAGTAGTACTGAAAGAGTTAGAAAGGTCATGGTGGACAACACATTTAATATGATCTTACAATGCAATGTGCCACCCTGGTTTTGGGCTTCATTCAAAGAGAATTTGTTCAACTCTGATAACACCATATCTATGCTACAGAATTAAATTCTGAACACATTTTGTAAAAAATCATATATTTGACAGGATTCAGGAAGCAGTAAGAGGGTATTGAACACTTCATAGAATCAGGTCCCAACTCCCACTGAATTTAAAAAGAGCACTTTTAGTTTGGGTCCAAAATGAGCAAACACCTGCATCCTAAGCAAATCTCAGTTTTTGAGAGTCTTTGAGATACAGCCTCAATAAAAACATTACAGTAGGGACTCAGGTCTTTCTCTGTATATTTATAAAAAGGCATAGAGGTTTTCGTACCTGCACTGTATGCTTGCTTTTCGTACCCAAAGACGAGTGCAAACATCCGTTTTTCATTTCAGTAGCCCAGGATGTAGCAACTATGTGGCTTCTTATAAAAATAAACATAGTACAAAATATACAAGACCTGCATTCATACCTTGTGCATGGTATCTGGTAAACAATGTATTTGGCGCTCTATCCATATCCGAGGGCATAACTCCTTTAAACTGCTTTGAAAACATCTCTGGTTTGATTGTAACATCAGTAGTTACCCTTCCTTGAGTAAATAAAACTAGTACATAAAAGATCTACGAGTCACATCCCACATCAGAATGAAAAAAAAGGAAAAAACCAACCATAAAGGGGCTGGTTCTGATATTAAATACATAGTTGGCTGGATATGCTCAGAGCTTATTTCCAGTAAATGGGACTTGATGCTTAATACTAAAGAAAAAGGGGATTTGTAAGAATAAGGGATTCGAAAGACTGTGACTATGGAAGGCCTGGTTGATAAATCAAAGAAAATCTTTTGAAAAGCCTTTATATTGAATCCCATCTCTACCAAAGCACAGCAGCAGTTTGGTATTATGAAGTCTCATCTCATCAACCCACAAAGATGATTCCAGCAGGTGTTGATGGATGGATGGACATACTGAGTCATAAGTGCCACTTGACTAATGCTTGAAAATTTACTAAGCTGGCTACAGTTTTATATATGACAATAATCAAATCCACCCCTTCTTTATACGCAGGCAGCCCTCATTCAACTTTTCTATCACTCCAGTCTTTGCCAATCTCTTTCTTCCCCTTTGCTCCCATCAGTTGCATCTTCCCTGATTCATTTTGACCAGTAGTGATGACCACATCTAAGAGCCTGGAAATATTGGAAGAGAATCCTGGTACAAACTGGCTGGAGTAAGCTTCCAAAAGCCCAACAAAATAAAGAAAACAGGAGATAGCAAGCTTTCTGTGGAAGTACAAGGAAGACAAATTGGGCAGAACACTACACCAAGTCAGTTACTGTGAAGGCATGAACAATTACTCCGAAGTCTGCAGAGATACTATCCAAAACAAATAACATGACGTGAATAACCATCACTATGCTTCTTTCTTCATCTCCTTATAACAAGGTATTTAATATAATTCACAGATTCCTTGTAATCAGACAGGGATGTGCCATGAGCACCTCTGCCATGGTCTCAAACTTGCAACTTCTAAGCTGTCAACCATACACCTTAGTGCCCACACCACCTCAGCCCCGATGACTAGCCTTATTTACACCCACTGTATCTGATCAACCTCATGCTGCAACATGAGTGAATGTGCAGGCAGAGTTTGACCCACACTCTTTTGCAAAGAATGTGCTCATGCCGTGTTAGGGCCAACTTTACCAATGGTGTAACTCCATTTGGTTTTGTGTATATAGTCCAAGGATAAATGTGCTATTAATTTATCTTCGTTTACCAAAAAGGAAGTTTCTGCTAGTAACTTTAGAACAGGTAATGATAAATCAGTTTATCATCCTCTGGTCATGTCTACATGTGCGCTTTAATGCACATTAGCCTATTTTAATGCACATTAAAGCATTGCTGAATAAATGTTCTATTTAGTAATGCACATTAAAATAAGCTAATGTTCATTAAGCATCATTTAAAAACCATGGGCTCCTATAGACATGCAAGGAGCTGGCTCCATGCACTGGAAATCCAGCACTTCAGAGCAGACCCAATTAATCGAGTCTGCTGGTGCAGGGAAATAGAAGCACTCCAGGAGCTTCCGGCACCATGTGTGTCGTAGGGCCCTAAAGTGCCTGCTCCTTTAGGGGAAGAAACTGCCTAGGGAGAGGGCCCTAGGAGCCAGGCAGAAACCCCACAGGTGTAGGTTACTATGGTAGCAGGCTAACGAGGGAATTAGCCTGCACCTGCATCTGGTTAGCTGACCAGAAGATGGCAGGGCCCTGGGCCCATCTGTGGGCACAGAGACAGGGGTGCAGAGAGCCCAGTGATGAAGGAGAGGCTGAGCTATAGCAAGGCTTCAAAGGGACAATGTTTGAATACAGTCTGCAAGGCATGGGGTGTGGTAAAGGGATGGTTTTGCAGCCACACATCTAGCCCATAAGGCTGAGGTTGTCCCGTGAGGCATCCATTTTAAGCAGGACCCAAAAATGGGTGCAAGAACCTACCGGGTTCAGTGGAGTCCATCAGGACCATGTCCAAACATAAACTCGAGGGCAGCCTCCCTATTTATTATAATTACCAGCAAGGTGTGGCAGGAAAGAAAAAGGGTGCCTGTTGGGCAAGACTGGCACAGTCACAGTGCCCTAGAGGCATCATGGCCATCCCTGGGGACCCCACACCATGACAATATGTATCAGCATCACCGCGCTGAAAAATGGTGGTGGGGCGCTTAGAACTAAAGCTCATTCAATGAACTTAAGTTCCAAGTGCTCTGCTGCCATTTTTCAGCATGGGGGACACTGATACACATGACATTCATGCACTTTTAATTAGTGCGGCTCACTAATTAAAGTGTCCCCCTGCGCCTTCCGGAGCATGTATAAAAATGCACATTAAAACAAGCTACTGTGCATTTTCCTAGTACCTCACAGTGGAGGTACTATATTTAATCCACATTAACTAAAGCAGATTAATGCACATGTAGACACACCCATTATATTTTTATCATCTATTAATTTTACTGTGGTAATGCCAAAGGCCCCTAATCATGATCACCACCCCATCATACCTGGCTGCTTGACACACATACAGGAAGACAGGTGTAACCCTGGATACGTGCTATATCAAAAAAGGTATTAAGGGCTTTGTGCTTCCAGTGTTTGGGTGGAAAATTAAACCATTTTGTTCTCTGTGTTATACGGCATTAAACTAGCATGCACTTACTACTTCCATTTGTTTTTGTTATGATGTTATTGTCTGATACCTCGTATTAAAACTTCTTTGTTCATGGGCCACATAGGCTAATAGCACAGATGCCAGTTTTTGACAACTTTTTCCAAGGGGCAGCTAACAGAGATAAGTTGGAGGTCTTGAGGTAACAAGGAGGGCATAGCTGCTAATGGAGGCATTCATGTGCATCCTGTTGAAAGAGTTTTCTTCCCAGTAGCATATTCCTTTAATAGGACCAAAAGAGCTTGAGAAAATAATTAAAACATGACCATAATGCTCAAGTAGTCCGGGAAAAGGAGACTTCTAGGTCACCAGCTAATTTGCTAAACCGTCCATAGATTTCAGGTACTCCCCATTCCCATCTCATCTCCCTGCACTTCACCTTCTCCTAACTCCTACGTTATATTCCCTTTCTGCTCCCTGCTCCCTTATTTGCCTCCCTAGGAGGAGTATCTCTGACTGCTATTTAAAGTACAATCCTTCCTGCCTACCTTTTCTAATACCACTTTAGAGCATGGATTCCCTAGTCTAATCTAGTTACCTACCTGAACACTCATAGCTTCTGGAGAAACTGTTGTCCTGAGCTCACCATGAGAATATCCAAGAAGTAGCTGGCTTGGTACTTAGTAAGGGTGCTGAATGCCACCACAAGAGTAAGTGCAATTTGCATGAGTAGCTGGAGAGAGGCTGCTATGCCGAAGTCCTGCAGAGACCTCCAACAGTCCAGTCCCCAGCAATTCCCCAAAACCAGGACAGTCTTGGCTGATGTATTAGCAGCTATAGTTGTTTAGGACCTCAGTGTGCATGCTTACCTTTGACGCAGGCCTGAACTTGCCCATACCATTCTCCACAGCTGTCACAGAGCAATGTAAAAGCAGTGTCTTTGTTGCCCATGATGTAGCCCTGGGCACAAACATAGAGCAGCTCATCGCCCATTTCAAAACCAGTGTGACCATGCAGGATTGTGTGAGGGAAAGATGGTGGATCCCCACACGGCTTGTCTAAGAAGAAAAAAGAAGAAGAAAAAACAAGAATGGTAGGAGAAACTTTAACCTGTTTTTTAGTTGTACTGCTTAGGGATGGGGCTTGACTAATAACTGTGAAAATAGACCTAGATATACCAGCTGAACCCCTCCAACACATTTCTGTGTAACACTACCAGGTTAATTCTATGTTGTCTGTGAAGTAGTTGTCAGGTGGCAGGAACTAACCATACCCCAGTCAAACAGGAATGAAAAGCACAGATAGCTACTTCCAATTCCCTGAGCCATCTAGTACTCTACCCAACTGTATTTCTAATCTAGCCTGTGTTTCTCATAATAGGAGTTAATTCAGAATCTCATAGTGCCTTCATAAAAGGAACCTAACCTGTGATGCAGAACCCTGTGCTCTTACCGTCACAAAGTGGTGAGGTTTGCACAGCCGTAAATTATGAGAAACTGAGGTACTAAACCTGCACAGATATCAGGAAATAGAATCTAAGATGCATGTAAGAGCAGAACGTATTTTGAGACTATTTACAAAGGCAACACTGAGAACCTGAAAGTGAAAAAGACTATACACAAAGTGAAATGTACTTAATTGAATGCCTTTATTCTACCTAAAAGAAATTCAAGTATAAACAATCAGCAGCAGCCATGGTGAAAAATGAGCTGAATCGGAAACATTATTACAGTTATAATAATCAAAGATGACATTAACAACAGCCAGATCATCTAGCTGGTAACAGTGATATGGGAATGCTCTTCCTGAAGATTTCTCCTTCCCTCTAAGGGAGTTGGTAAAGAAGGATCAATCTCGTCTATGACCTTTCCCCTTCCTGTCCCAAATTCCACAGAGTTCCCTTTGAAAAGAGGGCCTAGGATGCTAAGACCCAAATCTTACCAAAACCCCAATGGACAGTGTTTAGCCTTAGAATATATGAACTCTTCCATAGCCCATTACATACTTGGGAACCTCTTCACTAATCTCAGAGCCACCAATGACTGTGGAAAACATTGTCAATCAGGCTCGGATCCCATTGGATATTTTCACTCATATCCAGTGATGACTGAGTTCCCAGTAAAGATATGTTTGTTTATTTAAAGATTTTTTGTTGCTAATAACTTTGTACAGAAAATACAGAAAATACTAATCCTGCAAGTAGATTCATTAGATGTTAGCATATCTATTTGTCTGTACTTTCTCTCTAATTTGGGGGTTGGCCTTATGGCCTGAACTTAATCTTTATGAATTGAGTGTATCTGCCACTAGAGGACACCCTAATGGGGCTAAAGCTTTGAAGTCTATTATCCACTCCTTACACGCTACCACATGACACCTTCAGGTGTTAGTGGAAGTTACACACTTACACATTGACAACAGAACAGACCTCTTTGTAGTTACACAAGGCTCAGTTCATGCTCAGTCTCATTTAGACTAGGCATCTGAAGAAGTAATCACAGTAGTTAGCAGCTAATGTGTTTCCTGTGAAATGGTAAGAGTGAATGGAGATTGACAAGAATGAGAGGAATAAAAAATATTTTATTGCCATAATGAAAAATTAGAGCCCATTAGGTGTACTTTCATTAGCACAAACAGCAGTGATGTGTCTGCACTGAGGAAAGAATAGACTCCAAAGCATTATAGTAATAGAACTACTAACCTGAAAGTATCATCTATAGAGTCCAAATGGTTGATTATATCATGTGGAAAGGGTAAGATTTAGCACTTCCATTTTCAAATTTGCAACAGAATTGATATGACTTCTACAAAGTTCCAGGATGTAAAGTTGAAGGGTGCCTTCTACAGGAACAAGCTAACAGGAGATAAATGGAGCATGTTCTCTTTCAGAGCTTGTCACACAGTTTAGCTGTTTTCTATAGCCTCCCAACCATAAACAAAAATGTGAGAACTGACAATTTAAATGGAAAAAGAAAAGGTGAAGTATTCAAGAACCTAGGAGAGGTGAAGAGCTCAATCAACTCTGATGGCCTCTGACTACAGCACTACGTAAACATAAATCACATCATGGATGACTGCCCTAAAAATACCTGGCACAGATGCCTACACATGCCCATCTACACCTAACCCAGCAGCTAAGCAGTTTTCAGAGAGATGGGAAGCAACTGACCGTATCAAAAATAGTTCAAAACTTTCAAAGATTTGTACAATACAGGTCAGTAACTACTCTGGAGAAATTTTCTGTTCCTAAATAGTAGTTTGACAGAGCTCTATCAGTGTCCAAGTACGTTGCTATTTCATTGACACCAATAAAATAATTTATTCTGTTTAAAAATGATTGGATGGAGAGTCATAAATTAAATGCTTTTAAGGGCAGAAAGGACCATTTTTATTCATTAGACTGACTCCTAGCATAAACAAACCATATATTTCACCAAGTGGTTTCTGAAAGCCTCAGGCATAACCTCGGGTAAAGTATATCTTTTGAACAGGGATCTGGCTTAATTTGAAGATGACGAAGGTGATGGACCATCCTTTCATGTAGAAATTAATTGTTCACTAACCTCACTGTAAAACTCTGTGCTTTATTTTTAGTCTGAACATACAAAGTTTCAGTTTCTGACCATTGGATCTTGTTATGCCTTTGCTAGAGCCCTCAGCTATTAGAAATCTCTCTTTGTGGGTTCTTCTCGACTGTGATTAAATCTACTCCTAACCTTCTTTTTTATGCTAAATAGATGTTCTTGTTTTTTTCAGTGTAGAACAGGTTTATTGTGGGAATGGAAAAAGAAGAATCCTTATAATGCCAAGTGTCCACTGTGTATTTCACTTGAGTGTGCCCATTCATGTTAGCCTAGCTCAAGTGAAAGAAACCACATTGTGAGAAGCACTGGGATTTTTGTGGGCATATCACATGGGTCTTGGTGTTGATATGAGCTGGTCTCTGAATTATTTCTCAGTGTATTGTGGGAGAATCTATTTTTTCATGGTCTTAGCCTAGCAACTCATTTAAGTATACCACTTCCAGGTTGGCATGCCTAATATTTCTGTTTGTATTCATTGTATCAGCCATTGGTAAGGCATTTATCTAACTCAGAGCCACAATACGTGTTAACCACTGGTATTAATGCAACACTTATTCTGGGACAAAGGAACATGAAACGTAACAGAGAATGTTTTGGTAGCAACTTTATGCAGGTGCATGTACTGAGGAGAACTAAAGCAGGTTTTCAAAAATGAGGACTCTTCCTATGCTGTCTAGCAGTTCTGGAGCAGCACTCTGCATAAGGAAAACTGCTGATCAGTCAGGCCATCTTCTCAGAATACAGACACATTTTCAGGGACTTCCTGGCTGTTGGAGTCTTTGGTTTTTCAGTACACAATCATGATGTAGTTGATGTAGCATAGTGGTCCAGGAGCCTATAGAAGCTCTGTAGAAGCACTACCACCTGTAGAAGCCCTGCAGAAGCAATGTTGCAGACACAGCAAGCTGTGTACAAACATGGGGCCCAATGCCAGCCTGGACTATACTGATATATGACTCCTGGTGAAGAAGTGTGGAGCAAGTGCATAGCAAGAAAATATGGCCCAAAGTAATTGAGAAAAGGGACTGGAGGACTAGCAGCACTTTTGTAGGTTAGGCCTCCACCCACATTACAGTGATGCCATTTATCCACACTACGGGCACCTTATACATGTGACAGACCTCTGCTCCAACATGTGCTAAGCATAGCAAGCATAGCACAGGAGCAGATTCAATTAATCAAGTCTACTGTGAGACTGCTGGAACATGCTAATTAGCACACTCCAGCAGCCTCCACACCACATGTATTCAACATCCCCACGTTTCAAAATGGCAGCGGGGGTGCTTTAACTAAAGCTCATCAAACAAAGTACAGGATGCTGAATACGGGTGAAGCTGCAGGTGCTTTAATTAGAGCAGACCTCAGAGTCCCCCCTCCACCACACAGCATGTGTATATATGCCCTAAGTATTAGCAGTACTTGAGCTCCAGTTTATACTCTGTTTCAGCCACCTCAGATGAAAAGCACCACCACACTTGAGCAAAGGGTTTTTGCATGTGGACATAACTACTCGCACTAGGGTTACCATGCAGGTGTTGAAGCTAACTGAACTGTGTAGGACAGAAAAGGCCTAAGAATATTCATCACCAACAAACTGGTTAAAGCTGGTGATGGCTTTGACAAAAGAGCTGCTAGGATGTAGTAGATTTTTCTTTCCAAGACAATTAGAAGGTCTTTCAGAATATCAGATGGCATAGTCAGTTCTAATTTGGACTTCAAGAGTAATAACCATCTGAAAAATAATGTTAATCTCAAACAATACTTGGAAAAGAGTTAGTGGCAGACATCTCCCTGATAGAGAGTGAATATAAGTCATTTTAGGATAATAAAATTTAGGGGCTCGCTGACAGATTTTTGGGGCCGATACCAATAGCTGATTTTTAAGGAGGCATATCAGCTGATACTGATCCCATTTCCAATACACAGTCTGGTAGCTTGAAGAGCAGTGTCCGGCTGGTAAGTCTGTTGTGGTGGAAGCAGGTGGGGGGGAAAGGAGGAGGGGCAGATCGAGGCCCCTGTGGTGAGGGAGGGAGTGGGGTTGGGGTTGAGTTGAGGTTGGGGCTGGAGCAGAGGCTGGAGGAACCGCGGCCTGGCAGGGGCGGGGCACAGGACGGAACCACAGCTTGTCCAGGGAATGTGGGGGTGGGAGTGGCTCCCGCTGCTGCACGCACCCCAGGAGAGCTCGGGGTGGGGTGTGCCCTCCAGATCTGCACAGGGTAGGATGGGCTGCAGCTGCAAGCTGGGGCTGGGATGGGCTGGGCTCTTCCCAGTGGGGGTTGGGCCAGGCTGTGCTTGGGGCAGGCAGCGGTGGTGAGGAGAGAGGTGCCGGGGGGGGGGCTGCAATCACCCCAAAATTCCCAATAGCTCTCACACATACACCCCACAGCCACTTCCTGTCCCACCCCATCCTCCCCGAGTGCATCCCTGCCCAGCCCCAAAAGGGAACAGCCCGGTGCAGCCCCAGCTCAAGCCTG